AGCTTAAATGTGCAGCTGGAGAAAAGGATAATGTCCTAGCTGAGTTCAAATTCCAGTCATTTTTCATTATAATCACTTATGCGCAAATACTCTTGGGGAAGATATGAATCCATCTCTATCTCCTCTGTGTGGCGAATAACAGGACAGAGCAGGTCCTATAGCCTTGGTTGGCAACTAGTCTACCGCAGAAAGAAATGGCAATCTACTGCGGGAAAATATTCTGTTTAGTCAGCCATGAATCGAAAGAGACATGATCGCCCAAGCACTTAATTCACTGATTAATATGCTTTAAAAAACAAGGGAGCATCTACAAAAAAACAAAAAACATCACTAATCATTAAATGATAGAAAAAGGTTACTTGAACATGCAAACTAAATGCATAAAAAACAAAAAAAATTCCTTTTTTTTTCAAGGGTAGTTTTGCTGCTTATACTCACTTTCATTGTATCAGTACAGTTTAGGAAAATTAATAGCTGTTACAGCATACCTACGGATGATAATGGGTATGTCCCCATTTACATAAATACAGTAGGGAATACTCTATGTTGGTCTGCAGTTGGAGATTCATTGTGGAATTCATTTGACTCACTTCTAGCAGTTGATTACTTCTACACTCCACTGGCAAATCTTATATACGTTGTTCTTGTCCTAAGTATTATTGTTCATAACCAACTTTCATATGATTATTCTATTAGTAACCTCTCCTTAAGGTACAACAATAACAAAATGGAAAAAAATGCTGACAAAGTACAAAATGCATCACAAAAAACTTTGCCTTTTCTCATGCTCATACAAAACTACACAGCAAACCTCTACTAGTTGCTCTTGGACCTTATATTGGGTGAATATTATTATATATAAAAACAAAAACTGATTAGGGTTAAGTGTACCTGGTTATCTGATGGTCCTGAGTTCAGTCAAGTGACACGGGAATGTAATCCATATCTCCTCATAGACAGCAGAATGAGACTGATTTACTCCCGTGCATTGGGCAATGGCTTCAATTTGAAATTCCCTCAAGCTTACCAAAATATGACAGGTCCCTTATCCAAGATATCTTGTAATGCTGGGATGAGATCACAACACTGGTCTGAATAGATAAGAACTCAGTTTACAAGTTCCAAAACTTGTTTTGACTTGTTTTCAAATAAATGAGATCTGGGGATTAGAGGGATTTTTAAAAAATGGACTCTTCTATGACTAATACTTAAACTTGATCAGAAGGATAATCTGAACCTTGAAAATGATTCTAGAGTGTTGGCTGCCTCATGCCACTTCAATAAATATTACAAAATTGATTAATTGAAATGAATGTTGAAAGTTAAAATATCCAAAATGCTGCTACAGTAGATGTAAGATTTACTGTTAAAATCTTTAACCTAATTCCTATTTTTGGTGAAATAACTTACAGATTTTTAGACTAAATAAAGAGTTTTAGTGCTAAAAAAATTTACTTTGCCTTGCATTTTCATACTAAATCTTGCATTTAGTGTTAGAAACATTACCTTTCAAACTAAATTTTGTGTTTGGTATTAAAAAAATTACCTTACCTCACATATTTGTACTAAATCATTGATTTAGTGTTGAAAACTTTACCTTGCCTCACATTTGTGCACAAAATCCTGAATTTAGTATTAAAAAATTATCTTGCCTCACATTTTTATACTAAATCATTGGTTCAGTGTAAAAACTTTACTTTGCCTCACATTTTCACACTAAAGCAAAATCTGGTGTCTAAAACTTTACCTCTCTTCATATTTTTAAACTAAAACAAATGAATTTGAATTCAAAGGTGTTGACAGACAGCTTCTTTTGGCACCAAAAATGACTTTGCTGCATTATTTTTCTGAAAGAATACAGTCTGTACTTCTGCCACTAAATAGCAATTGAATCTGAGGCAAATGGATCATGTTTTTCAAACCATTGATTTAGTTTGAAATATCAGCATTTAGATGAGTATTTTAACAGCAAAATTGCAATATGAGCACTGGTAAAAATGGTTGCTGAAGACATTAGGTTCATAATACCCAGAAATTCATACACAGATGTCCTCAAGAACACATGGCACAGTGGATAAAGGTGTTAGATCCAGTGACAGGATTCCGGTTAAGGCAGTGGAGAACTTGGAGAGGGGAATTAACAAGAGATACCTGACAACTAACATCCATTAAACATGGCATGTGGAACTAAACCAGTCTACCCAAGTGAGCCAAATAAAAGATTCAGTTCAACATTCCAACCACCTGAAGAAGTCCAGAGTGTACAATGGCCGAAACGTTGTGATAAATATGGTGACAAATAATGCCTCATCTCAGAAATATAGACAGATACTGAGTATTTTAACCTTCAGAATTTGTAAAAACTGATTCATTTTCAATATTTCTTGAGGCGGCATCAAATGGTGTAAAAGTGCAAATATTTCTTCTCACGGTAAAAGTCTTTGTTAGGAATTTAGGAGACAGTATCATTATTATCACAACATTTCAGCCATTGTGACTTCTGACCTTCAACACATGTTTGTCCCTTCAGGGAATTTCAAACTGAACCCTTCATTTAATCAATAGGGGGTAAATTGTTCTCATTTCCCTGACCATGTTTAGGGGTATTTTATCTTGTTCTTATTTAGTACTGCTCAGTTATTGCTCACCCTTTTTCCAATGAGTCCAAGTACACGCCGTCTGGCCCAGGATTTAAGCTTGTAATTACTATGGCACAACTTTGCAAATCAACACTCTAATCTACTAAAATTGATTACGGTGTTAATCAAATAAAGGATATAGATTAGTACATGAATTTGGTGATGTAGTAATTTTGAGTTCAATCTCTGGGCTGGACCATGTCTACTTGGACTCAGTGTAAACAGGGCAAGCAATAAGTGAGCAGTACTAAACAAGAACTAGATGAGATATCACAAGACAATCTACAACTATAAATTATATAAAGGGTTCACTTCAAAATTCCCTGAAGTTTACACAAATCAGTAATCACCTGATGAAGGCTGGAGGCAACAATGACTGAAACGTTGTGACAATAACAACAAAGATGAGGACAATAGTCCATGTGCAAATAATTTCTTTTTTAAATACAAAATCTAAGTCACAAACAGTAAATTAAAAAGAATGCTTTATAACATTAAGTTTTTCACAAAAGTATAATTTTATTTGTGCTCTGAAATCAGTTAGAATGTTGGCTTGTGTCTTAGTGACGTGATTTGAATAGGACACCCCATGCCATCCAAGATTAAACAACAGATGCCATAGGAACTGGTCATCATCACATTTTTCACATCTGCAAGGGCCAAGACTTTAGTTAGATATGATCGTGTACAGTGTTGGATTGGTTGTTACTTTAAATTTGCAGTTGACCGAGAAAGAAGTGTGTGTTTGGTTTATGTAGTGGTTGGAGGGTGCGTCTAAGAATGTGGCCTGGGACCCAAGGGGATTGCAATCTGAAAGTGTTTGAGAACCCTTACTACAAGAGAATATATTCGCACACACCTCAAATGCTGTTATCTTTATGTCTCACAAGTGACACACAATTAATCATAGAACCAATTTGACAAATCTCTGATATCTTTAGACTGACCCAGATTTTAGTGTTGAATTCAAACTTATTTAAAGTTTATAAAATTTCAGTAATTTTTTTTATTTTACAGCAAGTTCTTGATTATCATGGACAGCTTGAGACAGGGGTTAAAAAATTATTTCCAAAATTATCAAAAAAGTAATGGAGAGAAAAAGTCATTTTCTGAAAGAAATTAAAAATTTATATCATCAAATAATATTTTCAAAGATATAATGTGTCAATTTGTGTCTGTCTATATTTCTGAGATGAGGTATTATGTACATTATTTACATTATTCAGACTATTGTCCTCATCTTTGTCACCTCAAGGACACATGGCACAGTGGATAAAGGCGTTGGTTAGATCCAGTGACAGGACCCAAAGAGTGTGAGTTCAATACCCAGTTAAGGCAGTGGAGAACTTTCAGAGGGAAATTAACAGGAGATAACTGATAACTGACATCCATCAAACATGGCACATGGAACTAGAACAGTCTACCCCAGTGAGCGAAATAAAGGGTTCAGTTTGACATTCCAACCACCTGAAGAAGGCCGGAGCATACAACAGCCGAAACGTTGTTATAAATATGGCAACAAAGATGAGGACAATAGTCCAAATAATGTAAATAATGTGTTAATTTGTGTCTCTTTTCATGGCCATTTCAAATTCAAAGTGTAAGGTCATAAATTTTGACAAACTTTCACAGTACATTCTTGATTATCTGGACACCTTGGGATTGAAAAATATGCTCGGAGAATTCAAAATAACCGATAATTGAATGCCTGGATTATCAAAGAAGAATAAAGAAAAAAATCATTTTCTGAAAGAAATTTAACGTTTATTGTTGGTTTTGATCTCAGAGAATGGCTGCTAAAAATCCTTCCTCTCCAATTTTATAGACAAATCCTACAGATGCATTTCTTCCTAGCCAATAGAAATGGACAATTTGCAATCTTACCCACACATTTTTCTTTCTTGCATTGAAAAGCTATAATAACTCGACTGTATCCCTTTTGCAAGTGCATACTATTTCTATTTTGGGAACTTTTTATCTTGTGACTGTCTTATAGTTGCTTTGCCTTTCATTACATTGTCTTATCTCATATTATTTGGCCCTGTTCTCTACTTATTGTCATTGTGAATTTTGTCAATTGCACTTAACCGTGCCTGCTTCCTCAACATGTGATAATGTTTAGATGTTGTGGGTTACTTTCAATTAGGCTAATTTGGAACATTACTTGTTTCAATATAAGGAATGACTACTCCCCCACCCTCAAAAAATATTTAAAGTCACATCCTACAGATAGATGCATGCTTGGATTTCTTTCCATCAATAAAAATCTACAATTCTCAGTATTACACACATTTTTTCTTTCTTGCCTAGATCAGAAAGCTATAGCCACTTGACTGTATCCCTTTTGCATGTAAACACTAT